GTACCAGTGTTGCTCCAAGTGCTTTTGATTGAAAGTGATAACGACGCAGTGTATCATATTGCCAAGGACTGTTTGGGTTGAATTAAGTTTTTTTTTTTAATCAGATGATCAGTGATGATTTTATATTATCGTTTGTATTCTGTCCTTTATATGATTAAGCATTTTTGAAAAACCTTTTATCCCTGTAATGCTTGTCTGGGCTTCTGTTTTCCCTTTTCCCCATTTTCTTTCATAGTTTCTCAACATCATCTATTTCCCAACGGATATCCAACAATAGGGGATTTGTTGGAATAAAGTAAATGTTGACTATAAGGGGTCACTTGGAAAAAAATCTGAAATTCAACATCTTTTTATTGTTTTATTATTATTACAAAAGCAGTTCATGCTTATTACAGAAGAATCAGAAAATACATGCAAGCAAACTAATATAAAGAACGTTAATAATCCCACCCACAAGCCACCCATTATTTTAATTCTTAGAAAACAATTTTGAGGCCCTTTCCTGTGCAGATTTAATTTTTTTCTAAATGGAATCTGGCCATGATATTTTTGTAGCCAATCACTTATTTAAATGCTTATTGTCGGGTGTTGTTACAGATTAGTCCCATATTGTTGGATGTTTTCCTGGGGCTAGCTGCATTATAAGCAAATATGTAAGGTTTTGGAGAAAAACAGTAAGTTTCACATGAATCCATAGGTTATGTAAATTTCAACCAAATGTTCCTTCTGAGAAATTTGATCAGGTTCTTAACATAAATGAGGAGCATCACGGGCTAAATTTGTCTTAAATTTGGAAGTTTCTAGCAAGTAGAATTTTTATAACCTTCAGCATATTGTTAAAAGGTGTAGCTTTTATACAAATGATGTTTTACGACACGTAAACATATGTGTCGTAAACATTGAATTGGCCACATATGTTTGAATATTTTACAAGAAGCCATTACCTTACTGATTACAGTTCTTTCTTCCGGGCCTATCGATGGGCTTTCCCCGCCTTTCTCACCTTAATTTTCATTAGTTTCTCCATACACCATGTGCTGTAGCTGTAATAGAAGTACTTCTCTTTCCATACCATGCTTTTAACATTCTTCTTTCTCCCAAATATATTTAACTAAAATTTGCCTCCTTATAATTTTTTTCCATGTTTTCCCTTGCCTGTTATCCAAGTTTACAAACGAAATGAATAGTTGGTTAGAAACTAGGGAAAAAAAAAAAAAAAGAAAGAAAGAAACTAGGAGAAATGCATTGCAGAGGGAAAAGAAAGGATTTGGATAGCCCGGAGCATAGATTAGAAACACTAAGCAACTGCGGATAAATTTTGATCATGAATTATACACTGTCTTGAAGGGCAGAGAAAAAGGACGGCCTCGACTAGGAACAGGAGACGCTGGGCTGCGGAGGTTGACTCTGAGAGGTATGCCGTGCACATCTAGACAATGTAGAGGCTTTTTGTTGTTGTTGTTCTAGTAAATAGAAAAGAAATTGTAGTTTGCTTCCACTGTGAAAGAGCGAAACTCCTGTGTAGTAAGATACTCAGTGAAAACTGTAAATAGCAAGGTGGTGGGTATAGAGCCTAAAATTCCATTATCAAGAGCCTTTGACCTCCCATGGCTTGTGTGCTTTTCCAGGTGGGCAGCCCTTAGTCCTGGGTGGTCGTCTTGAGTATGTCCTTTCAGTTTATATTTCCTGATCTAATCACGTGGTTGTATGTACGGCTCCTCCCTTCTTGAATTAGCAAGCTCTTAGGATTTAGATTTGGGTTCTTGACCTTTATAAGCAGGATTATTCTATCATTGTAACTTGACTATATTTGTGGCATAGTGTTAGTTTTAGGTTCTGCCAGGTAAGCCACTGTTGTGAGCTCTAAGTTTATAGCTCTCTTTCATTCGTCTATTGGAAAAATCGTACCGTGTGTATTTTCCGTATGTGACTTTAGGTTAAGTTTTGACTAAATTTAAAATGTTTGGGAAACTTCCTGTTTATAAACAGTGTTTTAAGAATACGTTGCTTAAAATAAGAGAACTTAAAATGTTTTTCACTTGGAGTTGTCCTCCAGAATTCTTTTGGGCAGTTGTTCCTGTTTAATCACACACCTCATTACAAAATTTTGTTGTTTTGCCTTATAACACCAGGTTCCGTATAGATAGACAGAGCAGTTAGCTAGGTTTTCCGTGATTTACTTGGCAGGATTAGCAGGATAGTTAGTCTTTTTTTTTTTTTTTTTTTTTGGTTTTCGTTTTAAACTTAGTAGAATCAGGATTCAATTACACGCTGATAAATGACAGAAACAAAAAGTTTTATTGATGAACTTGTTTTAAAGCTTGTATTTAAATTGGTGTATTTTTTTTTTAATTGGTGTATTTTCAACATCTATTTAGTGATCCTGAAATTCCAGAGCCAGAATCAGGAATGAAGATGAGATTGCCAAGACGAGCCAAAACAGCAGCACTAGAAAAAAGTAAACTGAACCTTGAACAGTTTCTCAATGAAGAAATAAGTTAGAGATGATGGAGGTGAAGTCCTTTTAACCGTGTCCTTTCAAAGTATGTTCAGGTCCCTACTTAAGTTACCCTTGTATCAAAATTAGAAAATGTATTTCTGATGTCTTGTAAGATTCTGTGCGGTGTGAGTCCACATTACGGTGGCCTGTACTGAAGCAGGACAGCGCCTGGCCCTGAGCTCCCGGAAGCCTGCGTCAGTGCCGTGGGAGCAGCCACATGTGGGGTGGGCCTAGGAACCTGCTCCGGACCCGGCTGCTCAGGCCATGCGCGCGCCCTCACGTTCTGGACCGCCTCTCGGTGTCGCTAGCTGTAGTAGCTGCATCTGAGAAGCTCGCGACTTCGATGGGGCGCGTGTACCCAGCATAGATGGACACGCTTCAGGGCACGTTTGGAAAGGGACATCTATCTCCAGGGCAAACGAAGTAGCACACACTGGCTCGAAGGGGCTGACTGTCAGGGAGGGGGGCTAGGACAGTGAACCCAGAGTCGCCAGCCATCTAAGTTGAATGGTTCTTTTGATGATTTTTGTGGTTAAGAACTAAGAACATTTTGGCTGTGCTACCTGAATGGGTAATTTCTCTTCTCACCATATCTGCATACGGGAGCCCTCGTTGCTTATGTTTCTGATGGTGTTTCTTGGGTTAGGGAGATGTTCACATACACACACACACACACACACATATATATATATTAATTTTAGTGATCTCTACACCAGTGTGGGGCTTGAACTCCTGACCCCAAGATCGAGAGTCTCCGGCGCTCTTGACTGAGCCAGCCGGGCGCCCCCACGTAAATATATATTCATTATGGGGTTGCTTGCTTTATTCCTGGTGTGACAATACTTGCTGTGGATAACAGGACAGTTCTAGCGGGACCGTGTGACAGGAAGTCCTTTGTGAACTGGCTTAGGAGCGCGGTCTTCACTGTCCGTTCCATCTTTCTTCCCAAACTGGCACTCCCCCGACTTGTGGAAGTCCGCCTACGAAGTCCGTCCTCTGTCCTTCTGCAACACTCAGCAAACATGTTTTCTTACCCCCTTCATTACCTTTTCTCTTGGATTATCCAGAATAGAAACGTCCTAACATTGGATCTGTTTTCGTAGTAATTGTGCTTTTTACGATTTAGGCCATTTATTTGAGGTGATGTTCTAAGATAGAGCTAAATTAAGATCGTTTGTGCTTTTTAGAACCAAATTGCTGTATTATATACATATATGTGCTTTGTAAGACTCGGAAATATGAGAGGAGTCTGAGCGATACCAGGGTAGGAATGCTTGTTAAGCAAAGGAAAAGGCAGATGTGGTGGCGTCAAACAATAAAGCACAGATGCTTGTCTTTCATCCTGTTGGCTCTGTGTCTTCCTGTGCTTCAGATTCCTCGTGTAAGTCTCCTTTTGTTAAATCCCTGTCACTTTATAAATAACTTTTGGGGGTGGGGGTGGGAGAACCAGGACCCAGAGTGTCCACAGAATGTGCTGCGACATCGGGTTTAGAAACCCGGCCAACTACGTCCCTGACCCCGCAGCCGGCGGCGCCGAGGGACGGAGCCGCGCTCGTGGGCCCCGTGGGCCAACGTACCAAAGCTTTTGTTCTCGGCCCGGGAAGAATGAAGCTAAGCACCGAACCTTCAGTCTTCTCGCTGCCCACGGTCGACACAGTCGCGTAGCCGTTGCTGAAGTTGTGCTTTTGCACTATTGTAGTTTAAGGTAAGGAGTAGTGTCCTGATGTAGAAGGACATTTTACACTTAAATGGCTAAAGTACAATAAAATCAACAGATGTAAATCCATTTAGCATTTTTCATTCAAAACTGGTAACGTACTCGGCCCAGTAACGTGTGCGGGGGCCCAGCCCTGCCGGGGAGCAAACCTGCAGCCGCGCCGCTGACCCCGCAGCCCGCGGGCCCCATGGGTTGAAGGGCGCAGCGGCGGGTCAGCTCAGGGCCGCCTGCCAGTGGAAACCTGCTGCTTGACGGCAAGCTGCGGTGCGGGTGCGTTTCTCTGCACGTGTAGGACTTGCGAAGAGACTTCTGGGCGGTACCTTTGCCTTTTACCAGTTTGCTTCGAGGTAGTTGGCATCCACCTGTATGCACTGTTCATGGGTCAGGTCATCATCACAAATCTTTACAATACCAGCCTTCTAAATCACATGATGCAGTATATATTAAAACTTTGTGCACAGAAATAAGACCAGGGACAGTTATGTATTTAAACCGAGGGCATAAAAAATCCACGAAATACCATTAAAAAGAGAAACATCAAAATCCATTTGTACTGCAAAATTCCACAACGGTCTGATGTGAACGGTAAAAAAAAAAAAAGAAAAATACAAGGAATATAATCAAAATGATTAATGCTAATGATTTAATATGAAGACATCACAGGACTAGAAACAGTTCAGGGTCAGTTGATAAATGCAGGATATCGATGTACAAAATGAGGACAGTGCAAGAGGAGCTGCCATCTACTTCTCTCCACTTTTGAGATTTTGGTTATGGGCCGTACAGCTCGCGAGGGACGCTGCTGTCAGACTCGGATTCCGTTCGGTGGGGCGAGTAAGGCACATCTTAGTGGGGCTCAGGGGGCCGCTTGCTGAACTCCCATCGGGCACATTCAAGCGCTCGTCAGCTCTCCTGTGCAGCGCGCTGGAAGAAAAAGCGGAAGAAAAGGCGTACAGCGTTTTAGTCGGACGACCTCAGGGCATGGTCAACCTCGGAAAAGAACGTTCAGGTTAGGCCCGGCCTGCGGCGGCGTCACAGGCGCGGGCACCTCGCGGGCACCTCGCGGGGCGGCCCCGACGCCCCCGAAGCCCGACGCCCGCGCTCCGCCCGCGCCGCGTCCGCCGGGGCCGCCCCTCCCCCTCCCTTCCCCTCCCCCTCCCCCTCCCCCGGGACGCCCGCGGCGTCGGCAGCGGCAGGTAGCGCCGCGGTGCCGGTACGCTCGCCCGGACGCTCGCCCCGACGCTCGCCCCGACGCTCGCCCGGACGCTCGCCCCGACGCTCGCCCCGACGCTCTCCCCTCCGAGAGCCGAAGGACGGACGAGGCGGCTGAGGACGTGCTGGGAGCACGTCGGCCCGGCCAGCGGCCCTGCGCCGAGCCGGACCCGCAGCGGGTTTGGAGAAGGTTCCCGCCGCTCCCCGCGCCCAGGGCCGGCGCGCGCCTCCTCCGTTCCCGCACCCACGCCCCGCGGGCTGCGGCACCACGACCCTCCTCCCCGAGCCCGGCCGCGGGCGCGCGGGTGACGTGGGGGCCGCGCACCTGCTCCCGGGGGGGCGACCGGGCCCTGGCGCCCGCGCAGGCTCCGCCCGCAGGAGGCGCCGCCGCCCGGAGCAGCCCGAGCAGCCACGTGCAGCGGCCGAGCCGCCCTGCAGGCGGCGAGTCACGCGCCCGGCAGCCGGGCGGCCCTGACATGCTCTGGACGCACTTTGTACACTTGCATTTTGCAGGTTTGAAGAATGAGAGTCCGAGACTCTGGTGTGTGTCCGTGTAGCCGACCGTGCGCGTAGGGCTGCCGGCGAGGAGCAGGTAAACTGAGTCACGGGCGCCTTTAAGATCCTGACACACCTCAGCCGGGGTTCGCCCTGGGGACCCCTGCGCCGGCGGTGCCCGGACACGGCTTCCCGCCGCCGTCTCCCCTCAATGACCCATAAGAAAGCTTATTAGGATCTTCGGGAAAGGCGGCGGCGGCGGCGGCGGCCGGGCTTGGGGGAGCGGGGCTGCGGGCCTGGGGCGCGGGGGGCGGCGGCGGCCCGGACGGCCGGGGCACGAGGGCGCTCGCACCGCCACGCACGGGCTCCCGCGCCTTCCCGCGACCCCAACGGCAGGTTCCAGCGCTGACCCGTGGAGGCCTCTGGCGAGTCGCGGAAGCTGCAGCCGCAGCCCCGGCCCCGGCGGGACCCCGCGGCGCCCGGGCCGCCCCCACCCGCCGAGGCGCCGAGTGACCGCGGCCAGTGGCCCCCTGCCCCTCCCCCCCTCCCCCTCCTCTCCCCTCCCCCTTCCGCCTCCTCCCCTTCCCCCTCCTCCTCCCCTCTCCTCCCTCCCCCTCCCCTCCCCCTCCTCCCTTCCCCCTTCCCCTTCCCCTCCTCCTCCCCTCCCCCTCCTCCCCTCTCTCCCTTCCCCTCCTCCCCTTCCCCTCCCGCCTCCTCCCCTTCCTCCTCCTCCCCTCTCCTCCCTCCCCCTCCTCCCCTTCCCCTTCGTCCCCCTCCTCCCCTTCCCCTTCGTCCTCCTCCTCCCCTTCCCCCTCCTCTCCTCCCCCTTCCCCTCCTCCCCTTCCCCCTCCTCCTCCCCTTCCCCCTCCTCTCCTCCCCCTTCCCCTCCTCCCCTTCCCCCTCCTCCTCCCCTTCCCCCTCCTCTCCTCCCCCTTCCCCTCCTCCTCCTTCCCGCTCCTCCCCTCCCCCCCCCGTCAATGCCCCCCACCTGTGCACGAGTAATGGCTCTCGCAGCGGACTCCTCGCCGCTCCCCTGACCCCGGCACCGGCAAGGCCCCCCCCCCCCACTCCCCAGGGCCCCGCCGGGCGTCGGAGGCCGAGGCAGGCAGCGGCGGGCGGGACGGCGCAGCCCTGAGCCTCGGGGCTCCCGTCCTGGGGCCGGGAAGGGGCCCCGCCGTGCCCTTCCCACGGGCGCGGGGCTCTGCCCCTTGGCTCCCGAGCAGGGCGGCTGCGGGCCCGTGTGCGCCGCCCCCCGCCCCCGCCCGCCCCTGCCCGGGCCCCGTCCCGCGTCCAGGGGACGTCGCCCGAGCCCGGCAGGTGGAGGCCGGACCTTGGCGCTCCCGCTGCCCGCAGGTCGAGGTGCTGGGGCGCACCTGGCGCCGGAGCCCCCCGACCCCGCGCCGCCCCGACCGCGGCCCCGCCGGTGGCGCGAAGGTGGCCTCGCGGGACCGACCCTGCCTGACCCGGCCCCGGCCCGTCCGGGTCCCCCGCCCGCCTCCAAACCCCCTCGCTGCGCTCGCTCGGGAGACCAAAGGCCCCACCGCTTCCGTCTCCCCCTTCCTTGGACCTAGCTCACCCGCGCCTGCCGGCCGGGGACCCCACGCTCGCCGCACCCCTTCCTCGGACAGGCTGTCCTGGCGGGGCCGCCCCGGGTCCCGGACTGCATCACCCCAGAACGAGGTCGCCCCGCTTTCCCTCCTCCCGCTAAAGCACGAGCTGCCGGGGGCCACAGCCCACTGGCCTCCCTCCACGCACGCCCTCCGGCTCCTCCTGCACAGCTGCCAGGGGGCCAAATAGACCTCCTGCCTCTGGCCCTGGAGTAACGGGGACCAGACGCGCCTCTCACTTTAAACAACTTAAAAAGTAGACAAAAATCCATGGGATGCACAGATGGATCCATAAACACTACACTGTGGAGCCCAGTGCCGGGCTTGAACTCATGACCCTGAGGATCAAGACCCGAGCGGAAATGGAGTCAGATGCTTAACTGACCAAGCCCCCCATGGGCCCCTGAAATATTAAGACCACGGACAAAATACCGTGCAGGATGATAAGGATCCCTGGAAGGAGGGAAGCCCTGAGAGTCGCTCTGCTTACTGCCGAAGAGTTTCTAGGCCGCAGTAGAGAGAGGGCCCCAAAGGGGCTTGGAAACCTTGCTGAGGTGACAGGACAGTTTGTGGGTGAGGGAGCCCAAGGCAACCAGAAGCCGTAGCTCGGAGCACAGGAGACAGAGCTGCACAGAGAAGGCTCCACGGATCTGCCTGGTTTCCCCAAATCTGTAGATAAATCCTGATCAGTGCGTGAATGTTTCCAAGGCCGTGAAAACCACCCCTGAACAGGATTAGGCAGACACTCGCTAGAAGCCGCGTGGGACGGGATAGGGTCTGTGTTCCCACCACCAAGAATGGGAAGACCCCTGACACACGGCAGGAACTAATTATCGGGAGGGCCTCACCTTGGGGCAAAAATCAGCCCTACGGCAAGACCTCTCCTCCTCAGCACCACTGACGTCGGGGCCTAGTGATGATCGTGGGGAGCCACACACTGTAGAAGGTTTAGTTGGGTCCCCGACCTCTACCCACCAAGTGTGACAGTCCAAGGTGTCTCTGTGCATCACCGAAAATCCTCCGCTGGACATCACCAGTTGAGAACCACTGTCCTACGCTAAAGGCTGTTCCAACTCTGCCTACCAATGCCCAAAACAATATTTGAAAGAATAAAAAGTTTTCTTAATAAGCTAATGGTGTCTCAGAACAGAGCCACAAAACACTGAAGGCCTTGCAAAAACAAACAAGCAACCCCCCACCCCCAGCACACAATGTAAAATCTACAATGCCTAGCATCCAATCTAAAATTACCGGGTCCGCAAAAAACAGGAAAACATAAAAAATGAGAAAAACCAATCAATAGGAACTGGTAAATAACACAGATTGTAAAACTAGCACACCAGGATGTTTACCCAGGTGCTTTCGAAAAGCTGAGGAAGGCATGAGCATGAGGAGGAGAAATACAATAATTTCCAAGGAGATTAAACTTAAATCTCAAGATGAAAATCTAATTTCTGAAATGAAAATATCATGGGTGTTATTAACAGCATACTAGACAATCCAAAGAAAAGGTTATCAAACTTAAAAGCAGAAATAGCATAATCCAAAATGAAACAGCAAAGTAAACAAAAATGAATAGGTACCAGTGATCCATGTGACAAAATACATGTGGTTGGAATCCCGTCGGGAGGGGAAAGAGGGACAGAAACATTTTAAGAAAATAGGGCTGAAAGATTTCCATATGTGATAAAAACAATCCCCTCATATCCAAGTAGTTAAAAAAAAAAAAAAAAACTCCAAATAGAAAAAACATGAAGGCAACAATGCCAAACCCATTTATAACCAAAGTGCTGATAACCAGTGATAAAATCTTATAAGCAACTGGAGGAGGAAGAAAAACCCAGGACATAGAGGAGCAAGTATAATAGTGCCCGCGGACTTCTCTGCACGACGGTGGAGCAACAGCTGCAAAGTCCTAGAAGAAACCTATGGTCAAATCTGAATTTCATATCCAGCTAAAATAGCTTTCAAACACAAAAGTTGGGGGGAAAAGTGAAATAAAGACTTTCACAAAAAATGGCAGGGCTGGGTGGATTAAACAGCAAGCCCACACCACAAGAGGTGCTAAAGGAAGTTAGGCAGAAGTAGAACGGCATCCGATAGAAACCTGGATTTGTACAAAACAGTGAAAAGTACCAGAAATGAGAAATTCATGCGGAAAATACTTTTCCTATTTTATTTTTTTAAAGATTTATTTATTTATTTATGATAGACATAGAGAGAGGCAGAGACACAGGAGGAGGGAGGAGCAGGCTCCATGCAGGGAGCCCGACAGGGGACTTGATCCCGGGACCCCAGGATCGTGCTCTGGGCCAAAGGCAGGCGCTGAACTGCTAAGCCACCCAGGGATCCCCACTTTTCCTATTTTAAGAATCTCTTTGAACAACTTTGAAAAGGAGAAACAGCAACAACATATTGGGAAGATTATACCATTTATAGAAGCAAAATATATGTCAACAAGAACAGCACAGAGGCCTGGGGGGAGGCCATGCAAATGTCCTGTAAGTTCTTGGACTAAACGTGGGGTGGTGTAGCCACCGGAGCTCAGACGTGCAGGGCAAGCCCACAGCGAGAACTTCTTAAGAAACCAATTAAGGGGGATCCCTGGGT